CGAATCTCGGCAGGCGAAATCATTAATCATCAAATAAGCACCTTTCTGATTAAATATCCCAACATTATGACCCATCTATCCAACAACCTTATTTATATTTTACGTTGATCAGTATTGGAATTCTCACTGGATATTTCGTCTTGAATATGTTAATTCTATAAATTTCAGTGGTATTATGTAACAGTATTTTGAAAAAAAAACCATCACCAATCATCTTTATTTTATTGTCTAATTCAATATATTGGTAATTGATGATTGCCATTTCAATCTGTATTAGCATTTATCTTGTTTACTTCAAATAAACCCCTTCTAAGTAGAAACATGATAAAAATACATTCCTTTAAATATTCAGATTTAATTCTTTCATTTAATGGTATTATGAAATAATTTCAATCTGTTATTTGTGTTTTTCTATGCTTATCATCAAATTAATAAAAAATTATATTCTTTCAGTTCTATGAAGTGAACTATGAGATATTTAGATACTCAAATGATGAGGAATACTAATTCACTATTGAATTTCATCAGTCAGGCTAGAGAATGACCACACTTAAGTATAGTTGACTTGATATTGCTTTGTCTAACGTTAACTGTTTAATAGGAATCAACGGGAAGACTTAAAATTAATTTATTTGCTAGTTGGTTAATTATCATTAAGGCGTAATCGTAATATTATTTCAAACTATCTAATATCAAAATATTCAATGAATTTGATTTTAACAGTTGAATTCATGAGTCTATCTAAACTAGACCACCGTTGGAAATCAATAATCTCTGGACATCCGTTTCGTCCTTCAATGGGACCCTTTAACAGTGCGTATCCATGATGCCACACAAGGGACTCGGATCCAAGACCTACGGTCCTACGCAAGAATTTCTAACCTCTAGACCACTGAGTCAGCATCCAACTGCGTTAATGTCTAGCTTTAATTGATCCATGATCTTGAACAAACTATCGTCCATTGTCTGGGGCGGATAACTGTCTCCATCCTACACGGATTGAACTACAATTGTCACGGCTTTTATCGAGAACTCGGGAAATTCCTCTTGAAGCTAATTACTAGTGAGCACATGATGATTATGATCAAAATGGGGATTTGTAGAGAGTGTAGTTGGATGATGACTGTGTGCTTTGAAGGTTAAACGTTCACGTGTCAGACCTGAGGTCCTGGACTTGAGTCCCGTGTGTGGCATCGTGGGTACGCACCATTGAAGTGTCCGATTGTAGAACGAAACGGATATCCAATGATTCTAGGTTTCCAACGGTGGTCTAGTTTAGATGGACTCATGAATTCAACTATCAAAATTACTACAATATCCACAAAATCCCCTTTCTGATAATAATAATCATATCCTCACTAGTGACTGGCTTCAAAAGCTATTTCGTGGAGTTCTAGTGAGAAGCCATGACCAGTGAAGTTCAATCGTATCTGATGTGGGGCAGTTGCTCACTGGAAACAATGGTAAACGGTTAGTCAAAATCATGAGTTGGTCGAGGTTAGAAACTAACACCGTTTGATAACGGGTCAATGGTCTAGAAGTTAAGCGTTTGCGAGAGAGGCCGATATGTTCTGGATTCGAAGTTTCCGAATGGGATCATGGATACGCGCTGTTGAAGACTTCCATACAAGGACAAAACAGTCGTCCATGTTTTCGATGGTTGTTTAGCTTAGACCGACTCATGAATTCAACTATTAAAATTACTATAATATCCACAAAATCCCTTTCCTGATATTTTTATCAAAATACCTCCAGAAAATTTCATTTTATTCGATCTTCATTATTCTCTCTCTTCAACAATATGAATTCATCATTAACACAGAATGAAACTATAAAAAAAATCTTCAAATCTCTTTCAAACTCATACTGATAAATGTATGAATTGGTTGTAATTTCATCTCATTGACACAAACATTTATCAGTGTAGACAAATGTATCATGTTTGATTTGCCTAACTGTAATTCATTTTAGTGTATATTACTGATAATTTTCAGTACTATACTACACATTATATTATATTTTATTGTTTTTATTATAAGTTCTCAATTTGTTTAATATTAACAGATTGATTATTGTTATTATTGATCAGAGGGGGTTTTGTGGAGAATTTAGTATTTTCACAGTTGAAATCATGAGTCAATTGAAGGTAGACCACCATCGAAAACCTGGAAGCACTGGACGGCCGTTTCGTCCTATTATGGGACTCCTCAGCAGTGCGCATCCACGAACCCGCTCTCGCGAGCGAGATTCGAACCCAGGACCTACCAGTCTCCGGGTGCGAGATTGTGGATGCGCATTGCTGAGGAGTCCCATAATAGGACGAAACGGCCGTCCAGTGCTTCCAGGTTTTCGATGGTGGTCTAGCTTCAATTGACTCATGATTTCAACTGTGAAAATATTGTTATTATTGTTATTAATTACACCTTGTTACTTGTTATGATGTTATATGATATAATCAAATAAAATTATGATTCATCCAATCTTTTTATAGTAACATTGATTACAAGTGATGATTGTGTAATCTGACATTTAAGTTAGATACGAAAGATATTATGTAATGATTCATGTCAATTCAAAACACAATTACTATATCAGAAGGGGTTTTTATGGATATTATTAGTAATTTTAATAGTTGAGATAATGAGTCAATTAAAGCTAGACCACTATGTGAGATAGTTAATCACTGAAGACAATGGTAGATGTGTCGCTCAGTTTCGTAGATTAGTTGAAGTTAGACATTAACAACGTTGGATGCCGGCTCAATGGTCTAGTGTTTAAGCTTTCGTACCGGAGACCGATATGTTCTGGGTTCGAATCTCGAGAGGCTAGATCGTGGATGCGCACTGCTGAAGAGTCCCACAATAGGACGACACGGCCGTCCAGTGCTTCCAGGTTTTCCTTGGTGGTCTAGCCTCAATTGACTCATGATCTCAACTATTAAAATAATTACTATAATTCATAATCAAAAAAGTAAATTATCTTAATAATGCAAGTTTCAATCATGAGAATAAATAAGATATTTAAACTCTATTGTTTATATTCAGAATTGATATTATTCAAACAATCATGAAAATTCACGAAATAATAATGAGTTGTTTTATTCAGTATCACCAGTTGATCAAGGTTAGAAATGCAGATCATAAGTCTCTGACTCAGTAGTTTAAAATTTGAGCACATGCAGTTAGATATGAAGATTCTTTGTTCAAATCACGGCGTGATCGTAGATGGATATTACTGAGGAGTTTCATACCGGGACGAAACAGTTGTCAAATGCTTCTTAGTTTTCAGTAGTTATCTAAGATCAATGAGTGATGTAAACTATAAAAGGTATAAGAATTTATCATAAGTCACCGAGTGATCTGTGAAATACAACTGTAAACGAAGTTATAACTCCACTTCAGTCATTATAATTTAGATTTATTTTCTTGTTTGGTCATTGTTTATCAATCTCCACAGATCCCCATTTTGATTAAAGTTATTTGTTTAATTGAATTAGTTCTAATGAATCAGTTATTTATTGTTTTGGTAAATTACATTGGTGGCCATATAATGGAGTTACTTTTGCAGAAGATTGTAGATGAAGCTTTCTATGATTATCAGTGATTAGTTTGAAAATAGATTAGACAAGGATCTATTAGGAAGCTATTATCTATGTGGTCAGCCGAATAAAAAGTGAAGTAGTCACTCATCGAGAACATCGAATGATTGTCAAACCATTTTGTAACTTTATTAAAATTGGCGGGAGTATGATTTATTGAACTGTGGAGCACTGACGAAATACTATCGATTTTTCCTAAGATGTCTGTAAATCTTATTTTCAGTATTGTGTTTAGTTATGGTCGTATACTACTGATGAGTCCTAGACTAAGACACAGCAATCGTTTCAGGTAAAAAAAAATCACTACTAATTAAATACCACATTATTGCACATTCTATAAATACACTAAAAATGGATTGTACTCTAGGATAAATGTAAAACTTTACTATTATAACTGCCTGAATCCCATCTGAATTGAACTAATATGTCACATACTTCTAATTGAGACTTTTGACAACATGGGTTGATCTTAGTTTAGCAACTCTAGATAAGTAAAATATGTTCTTATTCACAAAGAGGCTTCTTGATAATCCCAAACTTTAGTTAAGACCGTACATAATTGGCGAATGAATTTCAGTTTAACTAATATTATTTTGTTTTATTTATAAATATATCGTCTATGTGTGTGCATGTCTTATTCACTTCTGTGTGATAGACCTACGAATTATACATTTTAAGTAAAGTTAGCTTTACAAATAGATAGAGATCAGTTCATTTCAAAAATTAATTATGGTCACATGATATCTTCGCTTATTCTTTGTAGTCTAGATCTACTTTACGACGTACATGTAGTACGTATACTGATTTACAATTGACTGATCTCTAGGTAGCGGTTAATGTTATATATGTCAGATCCTTCTTAGTGTAAATCGAATCCTATAGATAAAGTTGCATTGTGGTCACTAGTCTAGGTGACTCGAAATCGCCTGCACTATATTTAGATATAAAGTAGTGGTTGATGGTAGTCGACAGGAAACTCTAGAACTAGGTCTAATGCTACTTGGAACACATCGCCAAGGTCTACTTGTAATGTCCCCTGACCGATCCGATTCCATACTACCCTACTTCACAGTCAGAGATGTTACTACTAGGTTGTCCGGATAGCTCATATTGACTACCTTCAACCACCATTTTTTCACAACACAGACACTTAAACTATTGGCCACATTGTAATTTGGTCGAGAACATTTTGTCAACCTAGACAAACATGACATTGTTCATTTACTACTCAGTGATCAATCCGTTGTAAATATTTCAGTTATACAAATGGTCAATCATGGTCAATATAGCTCAATGGTAATGTCTCAAACTGTAAATTTGCTCACATAGGGAATATCAGTTATGCCTTGTTAATAAGTATAAAATAGAAAGTCACTTAATTCGAAATGGGGGTTTCACTAACCTTCTGATTTAATTTTCTGTTTCATTGATAAGGATTTCATACTATTTTCTTCACATTCATCATTTGTACCATTTGTATTCAAAAGATCAGATATAAGAAATGATTTTTGTCCTTCATTCTCCTGTTCTAATTCATCAGAAGTTAATGTATTTAATAGATTATTTTTATTATTATTATCATCATCATCAGTATTACCATTATTACGTAGATATTCATTTGAATTATTTAATATTGGTGAAGATGTTGATGTTGATGTCGATGATGAGGACGATGATGATGAAGATGAAAATGATGATTGTTGACTATGATGAATAAAATGTTTCATTATATTTACAATGTTTTCATTTTCTGACAATAATTTCGATGAAAAATTCAAATTTTTTAAATGTTTCAATGTTTTATAATGGATATTATCATCATTCATTTCATTGTCATCATTACTCTCATTACCGGTATTCATATTATTATTATTATCATTTACTTTCATAATATTATTTGGACTTATTAAATTTGAAATATAACATATATCTGTCTGTTTATTTAACTCCATTGGGGTTGTGACCGTTGTCATTATAAGCAAATGGAATAATAAAAGTTTTATATATAAGAAGAATTTATTTAAAAATAATAATGAATCAAGTTGGTTTAACCGTTTATCTAAGTAAAATCTTCGGTTTTATTCAGTAAAACGAAGAATATTTATAGATGAACGTATGTGTACATACATGGATATTACTATATTTAAATAATTTCTTTGAGGTAGTAGGGTAATTTGATTTTTCTCACCCTTTTTAATGATCATTATTACCATTATTATCATCGCATTATTATTCTTTTTTTATTTTATTTGCTACATTGTCATTCCCGGTAATGTCTTCTCTATTTAGTGTGAATGAATGTGTGTGCGGGGGGGGGAGAGAGAGCGAGAGTGAGATTAAACACTTCTTTTTTCCATCCACTTTAATCCTGTTTATAGGGGGTGTGTTTTTTAACCTTTAGGATTATGCCGCCTACTAGTTCTTTATTTATCCAATCACAAGTGTCTTAGAAATATATGTATTATAATTTTGGGTCTAAAAAGTCTTGTTATTGTTTCTTTCGCAAATGAGAAATCATCATCGATATCATTATGACCCTATACAGTCATGTATAAAATAATGGTAAATAAATAAACAAACAAGTAAATATTATGACAGAGACACATTTACACAAATGATGAATTGCATACAAATGCTTATAATGTTACAAATATTGCTCCCTTCCTACATTAAATTCTTAATATTCTGATTGCATTATTTTAAGGAAGATCAAGATTCTCTCAATGAAATTAAGCGATAAATTTCATGACCATTTTTCTAACAAGTTACAATGATAAGTAGTCAACTTTTCTTTTCATTATAGTCAATAATGATTAGTGTCTGCGATAATTTGTTTTGAATTGTGTCAATAAAAGAAGAAAATAGTTTGATGATAACACAATAACATGTAGTATATGTAGGCTAGAAATAATTTTTTTATTATCATCTTTTATTATATCGTGAGTCAATTGAAGCCAGACCATTATGGAGAACTTTGAAAGCATTGGACCACCGTTTCATCCTATTGTGGGACTCCTCAACAATGCGCATCCACGATCCTTCCTTGCGAGATTCGAACCCAGGACATATCGGTCTCTCATACGAACGCTTAACCGATAGACCACTGAGCCGGCATCCAGCGTTGTTAATGTCTAACTTCAACCAATCCACGAAGTTGAGCAATCGTTCACCAATTGTCTTCAGTGAGTTGATATCTTTCAACAGACCTGGTTGTACTCCACTGGTTACTGCTTCTCACTAGAACTCCAAGAAATACCTCATGGAGCCAGTCACTAGTGAGCATATTATTATTATTATCAGAAGGGGTTTTGTGAAGATTTTAGTAGTTTTACTAAATTACTAAAATCTTTACAAAACCCCATTCTTTTATTATATCACTTATATTCAGTTATAAAATATAATATAACATAATTACAATCACCTAAATATATACTTTTTTCTGTTTGTTCAACAAGCAATTCATTTTATAAATTGTATATTTGATAGTGTATTCAATTTAGAGCTGAATTTACTGTTTGGACATCGAATATACTCCTTCGTTGTTTGAAGTCAACTTGATGGAATGGGTATTTGAATCCAGAAATGATTAATGAAAGATGAAATATTTGTATAGATGAGTTACTTATGCTCTATACGTTTACATTATCATTTAAGTACTTATATAATATTGAAATATATGTCTACTGGTTTGTAGATTTATAAAGTTATTTGTTTTTTATCAAATAGATTTGATTGAATGACATCTGTACTAATTGTCTGATTTGTTAATTATATAGAAGGTGAGATTACAGGATTTATAGTTGATATCATTAACTGATCTTTGTAAAAAGACATTTATTAAGTTAGGGTTTTGTGGATGACCATTGCTTTACAGTTTACAATCAAAATATAATTTAGATCAGCATAGGGTTGTGGTGATTGTTAAATTGTAATTGAGATCATGAACCGATCAGTGTTAGACCATCATCAAAACCTGGAAGCACTGGATGATCGTTTCGTTCTAATTTGAGACTCTTCAGTAGTGTACATTCACGATCCTGCATACGGGACCCGAACCCAGTACTTCCAGTCTTGCGAAAGTCGCCTTCTAGTGCTTCTAAGTTTTCGATGGTGGTCTAACATTGATTGGTTCATAATCTCAAAAACAATTCGACAACGTTCACAACCCTTTACTGATAATTATCATGTGCTCATTAGTCACTAGTTTCGCGAAGTAATTCTCGGAGTTCTAATGAGAAAACGTGACCAGTGGAGTTCAACCGTCTCGGGTTTGAGGCATTTATACACCAAAGACAATGAAAGATAGTCGTGCAATATCATGGGTTGTTTGAAGTTAGACATTAACAACGTTGGATATCGGCTCAGTAGTCTAAAGATCAGACGTTCGCGCGTAAGACCAAAAGTCCTAGGTTCACGTCCCAAACGTAGGATCGTGGGTATGCATTCCTGAGGAGTCTCATTATAAGACGAAACGGTTGTACAGTGCTTCTAGATTTTCAACACTGGTCTGGCTTAGATCGACTCGTGAATTCAACTGTTAAAATACTACAATCTCAACAAATTCTCACACTGAAAATTTAAGGGAAATAATATTCAAATATACATTTCATTTTTTTCTCAAACCTAGTGGATAAATTCCTTATAAGTAAATATTAGACAAATTTGTAAGCTAGGAGAAGAGTTTCACTAGTGTTCTTGGTTTCTCGTAATAGTAGTGTGTTTGTTCCTTACTGTTAAATAAAATTACTAATATGTTATTGAGTGTGTAAAATCCTCAAATATAACATAGAAGGAAGGAAACCCATCTTAAAATCTGCATATTAATATTCATCATTATTCGTTCATCGAAATTTCAGTACACTTTCTTTTAGTCAGTATATAATTGATTTACCATGACTGCAAATTAAATCTTTCGGGGTTTTTACTAAAAAATCATCCTTACAACACTTCTTTGGAGAATATAAAGCTCTTCTGAATGTTCCATCCCTCTTTTTTTAGTGACTTATAGATTATTAATTTCCAAGTATTGTAGTATGTTAATTACCCTATCTATCTAGTATGTTAAGATTCAACTTCGTGTCAGAAGAATCTTCAAAGTTATTCATAATCAGATAATACAGTAGTCAATCTAAAATTGTAGCATAGTCGTTATCGTTTGAATAGCGTTTAGTTGATTAATGTTCTACAATAAAAAACTAATAATTTTTTTATATATAGTTGAAATCATGAGTGAATAGAAGCTAGACCACCATGGAAAACCTGGAAGCAGTGGACGGCCGTTTCGTTTTATTGTAGGACTCCTCAACAGTGCGCATCCACGACCCCACCTCACGAGGTTCGAACCCAGGACCTATCAGTCTCGCGCGCGAGCGCTTAACCACTAGACCACTGAGCTGGCATTCAACGTTGTTAATGTCTAACTTTAACCAGTCCACGATGTTGAGCAACCCTTCACCATTGTTTTCGATGAGTTACTAATTCACAACAGACCTGGTTGTACTCTCCTGGTTACTGCTTCTCACCAGGACTCCAGGAAATACCTCATAGATTGGCTAAAGTTATACATAAACAACTTTGGATATCGGCTCAATGGTCTAGTGGTTAAGCGCTCGCGCACGAGACTGATAGGTCCTGGGTTGGAATCTTACGAGACGGGATCGTGGATGCGAACTGCTGAGGAGTCCCATAATATGGTGAAACGGTCGTCCAATGCTTCCAAAGTTTTTCATAGTGGTCTAGCTTCAATTGACAGATGATTTCAACTACATAAAATTACTAAAATCTCCACAAAACCCCCCTTCTAAAATAACTAATAAGTTGACAAGTAACTGAACAAGTTAAAAATATCGAGAATATAATCATGAAGTTTAAATAAATAAATCCCTATCAATAGTATCATCATTGTCAATAGGAGCAATGTCATAATACAAAAGAGAAATATAAAAAGAATGTGAAAGAAGGAAAGTTCCAGAGAATTTCTTTTTTTTGTCATTAAATTTTTTTTTCGAAGAACCAGAACAGAATAAAGAAATAAAGGTGAGAATGAATATTTTCTCTCTTTTTTTTCACCATCTAAATTAATTATACATAATTTATTTTAATTTATGTTTCAATAATAAGAACCAGATGTTTACATTTGTGGTTTGGCCCGAACAGCTGTTAAATGATGAAGGTTCATAATACCCAACTATAAATATTTGTATATATATAATCATCATTATTATAAGACAATTTAAGTACTTGTTCTTAATAAATATATGACGAATATAGGTTTTGTGTAGAAAAAAAAAGATGACATAGAAGAACGTAAAGTATTGGTTGATAGAGGGACACAGAGAGCGAGAGAGAACAAAATAACGAAAGAAAAAAAACTCACTAATAGTGATAAAAAAAAAGACAAGTCAAAGAAATTACATTGAACCGCCAAAATAAATTGTTTTTTTTCTCTGTCACTCCTCTTCATCATGTTTGTCCGACGTTTATTACTTCAGGAATACTATTCTTCCCAATCGCTACATACACACATACATAGAAACAAATATGCATTTTCACCATTAGGATAGTTATACTGGATTATTATATTTCAGTTAGCTGCTAATTAATAGTAATATGAATACCATTCTCAAAACCTAGACAATGGACATTTCAATTGATACTTGAAAGTGTTTAAAAATAATTAATAGGCAACACATGCAATATAATTCAATGAGGAATTATATATATATATATATATATATATATATATAGAAATGCAATAAAAATGAAACGATAATAAAGCATTGAATTGAATAATGAACATTTGATTACGTACATCATGGTTGTTTGTTGATAGATTCGCTTTTTTCACGTTGGAAATTGAAAAAGAGAATGTTATCTATGGTAAGAATGAAATGAAAATTGCTTGTAACAATTCTATATTATAGGTGAATACAAAAGGTTTAATTCATTGTTTCCTGGCTTCCCTCTTTATGAAGTGAGTTTAGATAACAACCAAACTAGAGGGTTTCGAACTATTGACGTGATAATCTGTCAGGGAAGCTACTAATAGCAAGGATACATTTGATCTAATTTTTTATGTTGTTTCAGTTAGGTATGTCAGTGAGAGACACATATTCGTCTGTAACTAA